GAGAGAGAGATGGATGTGAGGGTCCAGGTGTGGTGGAATGGTTTCCAGCAGCCACGTGCATCCCACGTTGAAGGAGGAGGAAGGGAGACTGTTGTCACTGGCATTCTTAAGGTGCTTCTGGCTCCACCGCCCTCATTCACGGAGCCACGGGGATGAGGTCATCCTCCTTGTCACAGCCACAGAAAGGGAAGTCCCCGCAGCAGGGCTGCAACCAGGGCTTCCAGAGAGTGTGGAACACGGAGAACTGTGGAGGAACCGGTGTCAGGCTCCTCCGGTGATCCTGGATGGCAGCCTCCACTCTTCTCATCACGGAGTCAAAGAGTGCTGTGTTGTCAGGACTCAGGGGCTGGGATTCCGAGGGGTCCCTGGAGACATCGAAGAGCAGGGGTGGGTCGTGGTGGGTGACGTGTCCTGAACAGGGACACATGTCACTCCCGTAGCAGGCACCTGCTGCCTCCGGGGAGAACTTGGGGGTCACAAAGTGGACCTTCCACGTGGTGTCACCTGGAAGACAAAGCATCCCTCTCCTCGTGTCACTGGTCAAAGGGGACAAGAGGACTCACCTTCTAAGCATGCCTACCTTCTTAAAAACTGACTCAGAGACCAATGGGTAGATGATATTCCTGAGTCAAAGGACCTGAAGTTTCCGTACCACACAGATGAATTAACGTCCGCACCACACACGGTGGACACACCACGTGGTCCTTGAAAAGTGTCCCCAGGAAGGTTTAGTGCATGAAACACTGACCGGCTAACTCATCATGAATCAGGGTAGAAAAACACCAAGCTCTCTGTGTGTGCATCTGCCTCTGTGAAGGTATGGGAGCAGGGAGCTGAGGACAGAGGTGGGAGAAAGAGAGAGGGGAGAAGGGAGAAATCTAGAGAGGGAGAGCTGGAGAGGAGAGAGGGGTTGGATATGATGGGAGGAGACGGGGTTGGCGTGTTGCTGAGAAGGAGAAAGTGAGAAAGATAAACAGAGCAGAGAGGGAGAAGAAAGGAAGCAGTGGGATGTGGGACAGTGGGAGGGGGCAGGAAGGGAGAGCATGGGAGTGATAGATGATGGAGAGGAAAAGACACAGGGAGGGATAAGAAGGGTGAGCGGTAGGAGGGAGAGGGTGTGAAAGAGATGAAGAAAGAGAGTCCTCGAGTGCTTGTATATGTATACATGAAGCCTCGTAGGACTGATATCACCTAGCCCCCCATGCCCAGTCCACGGCGTGAGTGCTGTGTCCACTCCCATCCTGTCCATGGACATACTCACAGTCCCGCTGGTGCCACCTGACCGCGTGCAGGTACGTCCCGCAATAGTGGAAGAGGAACTCGTGGTGCAAGGAAGACACTCTCCCTTCCAGCAGAGGCATCAGGTTACGGCCGTCAATGACCCTTGAGGAGAGGAGACAGCAGAGACAGAGGGGAGTGAGGGGAAAGCCTGGTCCTCTCTGTCAGTTCTCAGCATGGAGGAGAAGGTTTGGAGAGTCAAAACAGGAAAAGGCACACCCACATTTATCACTGTGGCTTTGTTCACAATAGCAAGGAGTTGGAAACAACCCAAGTGCCCATGAACAAAAAATGGATAGAGAAGCTCTGGTATATTCACACCATGGAATACTATGCAGCACTGAAAAACAAGGAACTCATGCAATATTATTCAAAATGGTTGACCTTGGAGGATATTATGCTGAGTGAAGTATCTCAGTCACAAAAGGACAAATACTGCATGGTGCCACTGTTGTCAAATAGGACTGACCTTGGGGTTGGGGAGAGACTCAGAAAGATGGGTTCAGTAATGTATACTACATTGAAACAGATGAAGGAGAAAACTGTTCAAAAGGGATATGTGATTAGGTATTTTTGTCATGACAGGATTCCAGAGTGAAGGCTGCATTGTGGAGTGAACCTGGGAGGAGGGATTGTAAAACAATGAAAGAATTTTTCTTTTACTTTTCCAAGAGAGGAGTGTACTACAAGGGAGGGTTGGGAGGGGAGAAAAGAGCAACAATGAATGAATGGAAATCCAAAGTCACTGTAAATATTCATTGAAATTAATAATTAAAAAAAAAAAAGAAATAAAATCAAATTAGAAAGAGAGTCGATTTCCTGACTCTTCTTAAAAGGGGCCTTGGAGTGAGATTGAACCTACAACTTGTTGGCTGGTAGTGAAGTATGAAGGCAGCCATCTACCGCATGCAAGAACACCGCTGGCCTGAGGACAGGTGTCTATTAAAAGGTCCCATAACTGCCAATATGTAGCCACGTTTTAAGGGGGTCAGCGTGGTCTCTGTACCTATCCAGGGGAAGGATGCCTCCTCCGACGTACGACAACGTGGGATACACATCCATCACGCTGGTGGGTTCCGTAATTACTTTTCCCGCCTCAAGTACAGTGGGCCACCGGAATATCCCAGGAACACGGATACCGCCTTCCCAGCCTCCCATTCCTTTGCCACCTGTAGAAAAAAACCTGAAGATGAATTAAAATATCAAGCTCTTAAACGACAGTGCTCATCATAGATGTGAAAAACAAAAAACAAAACAAAACAAAAAAACCATTGCAAGATACTCTCTATAGAGGGACATGGAGCAAGAATGTCACTCCCAGGAGTAAGGTGTAGCCTACAATAGTTTCCATTAGAGCAGTGAATAAGGCACAGAGAAAAATGGATGCCTTTATTTTTTCCTTTAAATTTTTATTATCTGTGTGTGTGTGTGTGTGTGTGTGTGTGTGTGTGTGTGTCCTTTTGAATAGTATCTGATAGGTACAGGAGATTGCCCCTCCTTCTCCAGCAGGGCATCTGGTGGATTCGAACCACGTGCCTCTGGGATTGCAGTGCTGCTTCTTGCCACTAGGCCACCAGAGCTCCCCAACTGATGCCTTTTGAGTGGAGCTGTGGGAGAAGAAGACGAACTAGCCCACGGATGTCCAAATGAACACACAAGTTTGTTTTGGAGGAATTACAACCAGGGTGATCTTTTCATGCACAGAGTGTGAAAAAACATGGTGCAAAGGGCAGGTATGGAGAGGTGAAACCCAGGAATGTTGCCCCACCCCTGACAAGACACCCAGAACAATCTCATGCTCCGGAATGATGCTCTCCAGTCACTGCCAATTTTGACAGTGAGAAGCCGTGGTCTCGATGCAGCAAGATGTCCGAAGCTCTTTTAAAAGTCTCATTGCAATAAATATTTCCCAAGACAAAAGAAATTGCAGAGAAAGAAATAGTTGGAAACCAAGCCACCAACTCTCACGCTTGCAGACACATATTCTTTTTGGCTTCGGGTTGAAGGGAAAAAAAAACCAAAACATTCTTTGCTAGTGAGTTTAGGAGAATCTCAAAGCCACAATGCCACCTTCAGGTCTGTCCACGACATGAGCCCTGCAGTCCAAACTCGGACATTACTGGAGTCCTATTCAGGAGAATCCATTCCCAAACCCGTCCTCAGGTGCCGACCTGAACACAAGACACCCCTTGAGAGACACCAGAGGCTAAGTGTATGAAGTTTAGGCAAACCCACACAGCGGAAGCCCTGCAAACCCCTTTCAGGCCTGCATGTCCCCAAAACCTTCACCCAGCACAAGCTTGAACTCAGGTGCTCACTGAGACTGGTCGTTTGAGAGATTTCGAGAACTGCCATGGTGGCCAGACTCAGGCAACCCCCTTTCACCTGAATGAATATTCAAGACCTTAAGCCTGAACCCTAATACCCACAGAAATGCCTTGGACATGCACTGGTTTAAGAAAGTCCCACACTGCAGGGTTGATTGTTCACAGCTTCAGTTTGCTCGGCTCCACAGTCAACACTCTTGGCACCAGCAGCCAGGAAATAAAAAAATATATTATGATGGGAGAGTCTGCTGTTGGAGACCTCTCTAAAATACTCAAGAGCAACGGTGTCTCTCTGGAGACTAAGGTGTGCCTGATACAGGCCATGGTCTTTGCAATCACTTGTTATGCATCAGAGAGTTGGACAGTGACTAGGGAGGATAGAAGGAGAATTGATGCCTTTGAGCTGTGGTGCTGGAGAAGAATACTGAATGTACCCTGGACTGCCAAGAAAACAAACAGATTCATCCTGGAGAGGGTTAAACCAGGCTACTCCTTGGAGGCAAGGATTCTGGGGCTTCGTCTGACATACTTTGGACATGTTGCAAGGAGAGACAGGTCCTTGGAGAGGGACATCATGCTGGGTAGAGTAGAGGGACAGCGCAGGAGGGGAAGACCCTCTATGAGGTGGATTGATTCAGTGACTGGGGTAATCGGGATGGGAGTGTCAGAGGCAATGTGATTAGGTACAGGACAGAGTGGAGTTTAGGGCTGTTGTACATAGGGTTGCTATGAGTCGCAAGTGACTCGATGGCACATAACAACAACAACAACAAACACTGCAGGGACCTGGCCCTGTTACCTAGCACAAGTCTGAACCCCAATGTTCACAAAGACACCTCTGATACGCATGAGTTTAAGAAAGCTTCAAATACAGGGGCCTGGCTACCTCCCTTCCAGTGCTGTCTGTCCCCAGGGCCCTCGCTTAGTGCAAGCTTGAACACTCATGAGTTTAGAAGAACCGTCCTTACAAGAGCACCTCTCCCTCCCCCCCTCTTCAGGTGAGTTCATCCCTGAGCCTCTCCCCAGGTGCACGCATTGAATTCCAACCCCCACTGAGATGGCCAGGTCACTTATGAACTCTTACAAGAGTGCTCCCCAATTGAACGTGTCCATCCACCACGGTGCCAGCTTGATCTGTGATGTCCACTGAGATACAAGTGTCCACCACCACCACCACCACCACCACCCCCATCTCTGGTCCCTCACGTCACCTTTGTAGATGCCGTTCCAGCCTCCCAGCTGAGCCGTCCCGTCCTGTGCTTCCAACACACAGATATAAACACATCCGTTCCAGCCTCCCAGCTGAGCCGTCCCGTCCTGTGCTTCCAAGTGTCCACCGTTGTCCGAAGTGAAGTACACCAACGTAGTGTTGGTCAGACGCTCCTGGTCCAGGACATCCAGGATCTTTCCTGGAAAAGATTGGACACAGTAGGACTTGCAGGTTTTGGTATGATTCTTTCTTTTTCCAATGGTCTCCATCCCAGTGACTTAGTGTCCAGGATTTTGTTCTTGGGTGAAAGTTAGGCAAAGAAAAAGGACAACAAGAGAATGAATTTATATGCTATGTAAACCTTCACTGGTATTTTTATGATTTCTTTTGGTTATTAAAGAAACCGTCCCAGATATGGAGGGAAGCAAGTGTGCAAGAATTAATTAATT